CAGCACTGGAGCAGATGAACCGAGCAATAGCAGAAAAGTGGAACAAAAACAGAAGCTGACCATCTATTAAACATGAGGAGAAAATCCCTCATGCTTTCGTACCATGCTTTTTCTGGATAATGGCTCAATTCTTTTTCTATTTGTGATGAATAAATGATGACAGCAGCTTTTCTTCAGCAGTATTACTGATCAAAAAAAGGTTTGTGAGGGCAGTTTTAAACATAAACAGTGCTCTTGGGAGGATTGCTACTTGTGAGCTTAACTACAGGTCTTTTTTTCCAGACTGTGTTTTGCTGCACTCCTCCCAACTACAACGCTGCTGTAATTTCTGCTTTGTCTATCTTTGTCTTGGTGGTTGTCTTTCCTCTGGTCTCCATGGCATGCTTTGTTCTTTCCCGGTAATCTGGCACATCTGCACAAGCACCATAGCACTGTATAGTTTACAAATTCAACCATTCATTTGACTGCTATAAGACTAAGCCATGGATATGCTGGTAAACCAGTTAGCCTGACATACTTTAGACTATTGATTGATCTTAATAGTTCTAGTTAGCTATCTGAGGAGCTTGTGGATTTAAGTTGCTGACTTGACCTTCAGTGAGACTCCTCCAGTGAGTCCATGTTTGTATTCCTTCATGTTCAGATCTTTGAAGGTAGCAAGAATGTATCAAAAAGCAGAGACCTGATACTCATGTGTGCCAAGTTTTGTCCAGGACGAATGTCGATTTACCTCTGCACTGCTTCTGGCCAGCTGTTCTGCACCAGTATAAACGTTGGGCTGAACATTATTAGATCGATGTAGCTGGGTGTAGGAATTGCCTGCATTGACTGACTGAATTGTGGGTCACATCTCCAATCCCACACTGAAATACAAGTCCTGATAAGCCACAAGAACTATCTCTTAGCTAAGAAACCAGAGAATTTAATACTGTTAATGAAAAGGACGATATCAAGTAATGAGGATGCCATGAATGTGAAATTCTGGGCTGATCCCAATATTAAATGTACACTGTAAAGTCAACAAGTACAAGTACCTCGGGCTGTGGGTGGACAATAAACTGGACTGGTCATGCAACACAGAGCACCTGTA